AGCCCTTGAACCCTTGACCTCTCAGAGCCTCTCGACCCCATATCTCTAAACCCCGTAAACCCTTGGACCCTTCCTCCACCGTGACATATTCGTTCACTCGCTCCCCCTTTGGCCGCTTTCTTGACTCGTCCCCCTTTCTTATCGAATCTCCTAGGTAACGGATCCATCACAGACCATTCTTTTCACCGAATACCCTATCTCCAAAACTTGTGCTCTTTAGATAACCTGGTCCTCCTGACAGGCACAGAGAGACACGGGAAACGACTTCAACGAAATCTGGAATTGAACAAGGCACCTATGGACGCGCTGGTCCCCTCTCTAACGCCCCAACCCCTCCAAGCCTTACCCCCTAGACCCTGAGGTCGGATGAGAGGAGGACAGGCCTGGCATACGTGGAGAAGGGGGGCGTGGACAAGATGTTCGGAGAGGAGGGGAAAGCTGGGCCTCTCTACCTGGTCCTACCGTAACTTTTCCATGATACGCTTTTGGGAGGCAAGGTAGCCCCAACGTCGCACGTAGTTCTCTTGAACGATTGCCCAATCCCACTTCCCCGCGGCGGACAGCATGTGTTGTGTGCTGTTCATCATGGAGTCGGTTGCGTACACAAGAGGTTAGACATCTTGTTGCTGCATCTAAGCTGCCACCAAGGCTTCTTCGCAGGATGGCACGCTGAGACCCTGGAGCAGCGTCACGAAAATCAGGTCATTGGTTCAATGTAGTCTCCATTTCATCTAATTCTTTTCCCCTTTGTCTAAACCAGCGCTTCGCAGTAAGAGTCGTACCTCCCTTCATCCTCGTACAACAAACATCTACATATCACTCTTCACAGCTCTCCCCCCGAACGTAGCTGATCAGGATGAACCTAGGAGCAGAGCAATGGCCTCAACAGCCCCCCACACCTCATCTCTCTCATCCTACAAACACTCCCCAGCGGTGTTGTTCGATGACTCACCCTTTTACCACGCTCCTATCTCTTCACAGGCGCAGCGACCCTAGCCGTAAAGAAGGGATGCTTCAGCGCGTCGGCAGGCTTAATCCTCTTCTCCGGGTTAAGCGTCAAGCAGTGCTCGAGCAGGTCGACGAAATGGTTCAGGTCCCTCGTCTCGGCGTCGTTCATACCCGCTGACGCGGCAAAGAGGCGGGTGCGCAGATCACGCGTTGGTTTGACGACGGGCATGACCCTGGCGGTTGTCTGTGGTGAGATGTTGGTTAGCGACCGGCTGAACTTTGCTGCTACTATTTTCAAACAAAAGCCCATCATCGGGCCATTGACGAAAAAAAAGGGAATGATGCAATAGCGTAACAGGGGACAACCGGGATAGGCTTGCTGCGGAGGGACCCTCCGGACAGCGGAAACATGTTCTGTCAACTTTAACAAATCGACCCGACGTGTTGGACCCTTTGTGCAGGATACAGGGGGCGGCGGAGGGGCAAAAACAGGGGAACAAAGAAGAACAGGATAGAGGCGAAGTTGAGATGATGCGGCCGTGACAAACAGTCCCTGAGACAGCTCATCCTCCGAAGATGGGAGGATTCGTTCGCGGGCCTTCCATACTGGGGGACCGCTCCCTCCTAGCAAGTCATGCGAGTCCGAATAGTCCGAAGTGTTTGCTTCCAACGACATCGTGACCACTGTCGACGACCAAACCGTCAGCCGGGCGGCATCGCGTCGCGAGCATTCCGGGGTATGCGCTCGGACTTGACTGATGAACGGCCCGCAGAAGCTGTGGAGGATGCGTGCGTACGCATGTGCAGCCGCGCCTCAGCGCTTACAGCCGCACTCCGCCTCGACTAGACCCCATCTCGGGACCCCGTCGGCAAAAAATAGCATCTCTGAAGAATGATTGGGTCGTGGGTTGAAGTCTTGAAACGAGGCAGAATGCAGAGGCGTTGAGATATGGGGAAGAGAGGGGTGAAAAGCAAAAGTAAGGAAAACACAGATACAAGGAGAACAGAAAACACCGAGACCACGAGCCAATAACGTACCTTTCCAAGCGCCTTGTCCCGCTCCATGCTGACAAAGTTGCCCAATTCATCAAAGTGCATCGCCGAGAGTTGACCTCGTTTGTAGAGCTTTGGCGTGATCTTGCCACGGATCTCCATGATGGCCTTGAGCATCTGATTGTTGCTGTCGCCTGCAAAGAGGATCTTGCCCGTGTACAGCTCGTACAAGGTGGCACCGATGGACCACATGTCGATGGAGTAGTCGTAGGGCATTCCGAGAATGATCTCTGGTGCTCTGTAAAAGCGACTGACCAGGTACGGGGTGATCTCGTTGTGCGCCGTGGCCGCATCAGACTTGTCGATACCGGTTCCCAAGTCACAAATCTTGAGCACATTTCGGCTCTCGTTGACCTAGTAGTGGTTAGTGAAGTTCTCTGTCCAACAACCAACATTGAAAGTACTTACTAGGATATTGTCAGGCTTCAGATCGGCGTGGATGACACTGCATTTACGCATGTGAGCAAGGCCGATGAAAATTTGATGAGCATATGCTCGAGTTGCGCCTAGGTTGATTCCGACATTGTTGCCAAACTTCTTGAGCACTTCGCGTAGGTTCAGACTCAAATTCTCAAACGCCATGCACAGGTGGCCCTTGTGGTCGAAATGCCGCTCGAACTTGACAATATGCTTGCGGTTCTCCGGATCAGCATCGTTGAGCTTTTGTAGGATGGCAATCTCGGTGAAACCTCCTTTCCTCAGCGCATCGTTGTTTCTCATGATCTTGACAGCGACCAATTTCTTGTTCGTAATATCGACAGCCCGCGCAACGCCGGAAAACATACCCTTGCCCAGAGTCGACTGGACCTGATAACGGCCGTTGAGGATCTCGCCGATGCGAATTTTATAGTAGCCGTCCTTGTCGTCGCCCTCGAGGATGGCTCCGTTTGGCGGCGCAAGTGCTGGTGAGGCCTTGGACTCGTCCACCACAGCTACCTTGACAGGATTAGGTGCAGCATACTTGTCGTCATCAAAGTCTTCGGCAAACATGTCAAAATCGTCATCATCGTCGTCTTCCGATGACTTCTTCGCAGGGGCTTCCTGCGGTTGTTCCTGTGGCTGCGTGTCGTTCGACGCATCAGGAGCTTCGCCATGAACACCCACGTTACCGTGTCGCATCTCATCGCGTCTCTCGTCCTCCTTCATGTCGGCCGTGGGATCGTAGTCTGCAGCTGAGGGGCCGTCCTCCTCAGTTGCGTCGCCACCGCCATGAGTATTCATAAGGTCGCTCTCATTCACAATGTCGATAGCACTAGGCGAACTTCCGTCTCGGGCTGGTGAGGCAATGTCTGAAGACTTAGCGTATGTCAAAGTCTGGGAGGCGAAATTCTTACCTGTGCCTGGGGTTCCGATATCCGTCACAGGGGTGTTCTCCTGCGCTGGTGATGGAATCGCCGACCTTTCAGCCGCATGCAATGCGTGAACAAGCAGCGGAGTAGCTGAGCTAGACTTTGCGAGTAGCTCATCACGTCGTCGTCGCCTGCGTTCGATCTCAGCTTCCTCGTCAATGATCATTGGCTCCTCGGGTTCCTCGTAGCTATGATCAGGCTCTACCACCTGCGGAGCGCTATCGTCGGGTGTTAGCAGGAACCGAGTCCTCTTGGAAGGAGGAGGGGAGACGGACGCCTGGCCCCGAGAGCGAGAAGCCGCAGAATTTTCACGGTCTGCAGAGTCTTTCACAGGTTTAGCATCTTCTCTGGAAGCGCGCGGATCCTTTCCTACAGCGACTCCGTTCGGCGCCGCGCCTCCGTTTCGGGCGTGTCGGTCTCTATTGTCGTCGTACTTGAGGCCGCGGAACGAATCGGTGAGACGATCGCGCCCGCCGTCTCTGGCGTAGTGATCATCGCGGCCCCCTCGCTCGCCGCGCGGGGGCCTGTAGGGCGACCTGGTACGGTTGCGGGGTCTCTTATCCGGGTATCGGTCCCTCTCGCGATCGCGCTGCTCCCTGTCCCTTTCTCTGTATGCGTCTCTCTCGCGACTGCGGTTCCTATCACGACCGTCGTAGCTGTTGTTCGAGCCGCGGGACGGCGGGCGGTCTAGGTCTTCGTACGATACGCGTGAGCGGCGGTAGTCATCCCTCGCGCCGTCCTCGTAGTGCACGCGGAAGCGGCGGGTATCCTGTCGTCCTCCACCGGCGTAGTCACGCTCGTCACGGGCGCGTTTGAAGCCGCGGGGCGGCGGGGGCGACCGGCTGCGTCTCGAAAGGTGGTGGTGGTTTCTGGCGGAACTGTCGTACTCGGGGGAGTTGGAGGCCGAGCGTCTATCTCGAGTTCTGTCTTGACGGTCAACACCGTTTCCTTCAAACTTCTTCGGCAGTGAAGTTGCCTTCAAATCCACGGCGTCATTCTCCATGATCTCGCCCTCGTCGGAACTCGACGCCATCTTTGCAATGCGATAGCAAGTGCGGTGCTCTTGAGCTGTAGTGTTGAACGTGTCGGGGCACGTTCTTTAGATGTTTTGCAGCAGTGATCCGCCAGAGGAAGAAGTCCCCTAGGTCTTTTTGCGCGCAAGAAGGAGCAGCGACGTGTTAGCAGAGATCACCAGACGATTGATGTGCGGCAGGAGTTGTTTGCGAACCGGATGACTGTGTCGGCTCAGCTCATGGGGAAAAGAGAAAGCAATGCGACACTAGAAAACCAGAGGGCAAGTCAAAGAGGGGGGGGAAAGGAGGATGAAGTGTCGTAATGCAATGCCAAGTAAAAGCAGTGTTGTTTGTGTCGAACGACTCGGTGCTTTCCAGCGATCAAGGGTCGACAGGTTGAGTGTGCCTTGGACCGTGGACGTTCGGGAATGCGGTATGGGAATTTGGGTGGTGACGAGATACTGCGCCGCGCCGGAGAAATCAAGGTGGCACGGAACAGAGCCGTCGTTGAGCTTGGAATGGAGATGTCCCGGATCCACTACTGTATGTGTGCATAACCTCGCATATATGAGATAAACCATTACTAATCGCTATAAACGAGGACCCTCGACCGATTCGTCGAGGAGGGGCAATTTTCACCCCACGTCCACCCGCCTTACTGCGCCGCGCTTCTTCTTTCCGCTCCTTTGGACTTTACGACTGTGCAACCTCTGCGACTCCAGACTTTCTCACTGTCCACCGCTCTTCCTCGCCCAAAGCCGATCTCCAACCCAGTCCCTTCCCTCGAAAACCTCTGCAAAAATGGGTGGTGCAAGCCGTGAAGGTAAGCAGTTCACCGTCGCATACCTACCTTAGGGGTGACCCCTTTCCGACTCTGTCCGCGCGATGCTGACAAGACCTCTTCACAACAATAGGTGGCAAGGCCAAGCCTCTCAAGGCCGCGAAGAAGACCGCGAAGGACATGGACGAGGACGATGTCGCTTTCCTCGAGAAGAAGCGCGCCGGTAGGTCTTCCAATCACCGACGGGGCAGATACTGCATCCCCTCTCGCCTTCAAAGTTCCTTGCCGATGGAGGCTAATGCACGAGATTAGAGGAGAAGGCTCGCAAGGAGATGGCCGCCAAGGCCGGCGGCAAGGGACCTCTCAACACTGGCACCCAGGGCATCAAGAAGAGCGGCAAGAAATAAATCGACTGCTGGTGGAGCAAACGAAGTTTTTGGTGCGCGGGATTGAGAGATAATCGAAGTCGACGACGACCCGATTTACGAAAGCCCGGGGCGCGACGGAGCGCTCTTCCTTTTTACATATCTACAACGAGCATGCAATGAAATGATATCAAAAGAACTCTTGACCCTTGACCAAGCGGACATGGATGATGCTGGCTATCCTGACTGTTATTGTTCATGCTGTTGAGTCTGTGAAGTGTCAGATTGTAGCTGGATTGACTTAAGACACAAAAGTCGGACTCAGGGTCTTCAAGTTGCATTTGCAGCACCCAAAAAATGGAACGGCGGGGGGCTTTAAACAGTGGAAATGCGCCCACGGGTGTTTGTCGTCTTTGCTCCTCATAGCAAAGATTTGCGCTCGAGAGGTCTCCTCAGCACATGCTCGCGCATCCCACAGAACCCACCGGCCCTCTGTTCTCCAATGCTCCATCCAGTGCCCGTTTCACAGTCGATGCTCATGTCTGACTGTCCTGCAGACGCTGACCTTGAAGCACCTTATGTAAGGCAAAAGTCCAAATGTCTCACCTGATGCCCGCTCTCTTCCCGGCGGCTGGTCCAGTCTGACCGACGGGCCGACAAAAAAAAAAAACGTCTCATCCAGTCCATTTTATGCCGGTCCCAGCTGGCGCCACTTGTGATGCCGCCCATACGGAGCTGGGAGCCAAAACGGAGGGCCTCGAGTCCGCTCGGTGCGGACCGTAGAGAAAAAAACATGAGGTATCTGCTGTTTCTGCTGCTGAGGAATTCTTCAAGCATGTGGAAATGCAGATGCCAGCAGGAAAAAGAGGAAATCCCAACAATTCCCATCCCAATCAAATTCAGGTCCCTCCCTTTTACGGAGTACCCCTGGCCTGACCCGCCGCCGCACCCCCCGGCCCCTAGCGGTCAATCCGTCATCGCAGCAGCTGCAGTATGCGCCCTTGTTGAACGTGCGCGCCCGTGATATCTCAACGGCCTTTGAATGCTTAAGAAGGACCATACCACATGTCAAAAGAGATACCTCCTTCTCTCGTGAACTGCGACATATAGACAAACAGCCCCAAAGAGTACGAGGCAACTCTCTCAATCAATACAAATAACACCACCAAAATGACAGCCCCAGAAACAGCCGACGACGGCCTCAGAAACCGCAACCGCCGGCGCTCCTCCTCATCCCACGATACCACAAGCCTCCTCTCAACAGTAGAATCCTCCGCCGCAGCCCTCGAACGCAAAGTCGAAAAAGCCCTCACCGTCCTCTGGGAAGATCTGCCCCCCTGGCGCCGCGACAACCAATTCATCATCACAGGCTACCGCCCCGACTCAAACTCCTACCGCGCCTCCTTCCGCTCCCTGGGGTATCTGCACAATGAGTCCGTAAACATCTGGTCCCACCTCCTCGGCGCCGTCGCCTTTGTCGTCACGGGCACAGTACTGTACGCCGTCATCGTGCCGCGTTACGAGTCGGCGAGCGATGCCGACATGGTGGTGTTTGGGTGCTTCTTCGCCGGCGCCGTCGCGTGTTTGGGGATGAGTGCTGCGTACCACGCCATGTGTAACCATTCTCCCGAGGTCGCCAAGTGGGGGAACAAGTTGGATTATTCGGGGATTGTGTTTCTTATTGTGGGAAGTTATGTGCCTGCCATGTATTATGGCTTTTATTGCCATCCTGCGTTGCTCAAGTTCTACCTCACAACGGTATGTATCTCACTCATCCTCACACTCATCCCTCACTCATCTCTCACTCATCTTTCACTCAACTTTCACGATATACACCCCTCAGAAGAGAACCCCCAACTAACACAATCCTCACAAGATCAACGTCCTAGGCCTAGGCTGCGGTGCAGTCTCCTGGATCGAATTCTTCCGCGCCCCAGAATGGCGCACCTTCCGCGCCCTTATGTTCACCGCCCTCGGCACCTCGGGCGTCGTCCCCGTCCTCCACGGCCTGACAATCTACGGCCGCCAGGAGATGGAGAACCGCATGAGCCTGAGCTGGGTCGTCCTGCACGGCCTCATGTACATTTTCGGCGCCTTCTTGTACGCCTTCCGCTGGCCGGAGCGCTCGTTCCCGCGCACGTTTGACATCTGGGGCAGCTCGCACCAGATTTTTCACTTTTTCGTGGTGATGGCTGCCTTGACGCATTTGTATGGCATGGCCAAGGCTTTTGATTATCATCATACTGTTACGGGGGGCAAGTGTATGTGATCAGGTGTCTGACGGTGGTAGTAGGTGGTTGTAATGAGGTTCATGAGTCTCGGATATATGATGTTTTGCTTAATAGAACGTTGGTAATAGAGGGTATCATTCACACTGTTTGCCTATTTCGCCTATGCCACTATATGTATGGGCGCTCTCTCTCTAACATTCCAATCCTAGATCCATGATCCTCACCAGGCCAGATGCCATCGCAATCGCTGCCCAGCACGAGTACTCCATGTTCGGATTCCACGCCATCGTCGTAATCCGCGTCAACGGCTCCGAGATGACGGCTCGCTCGGGGTCAGCAAAATGCCCATCAACCTCCTCCTGACCGCCCTGGACATCCCCATCGTCTTCCTCTCCAGCATCCGCCGCCGCCGCCACAGCGCCCTTCTTCCCCTTTGCCTTCCCTTTTGCCTTACCCTTGGCCTTTCCCTTCTTATCCTTCTTCTTATTGATCGCAACCTTGGTCTTCCACGTATCCACCTTGGGATTCACATTCGGCACCGGCCGAAACCCTTGCAATATCCTCGACGCGCCACGGCATCGGTCCGCTGCACTCCCTCCCTCCTGCCCGTTCACAGCCTCCATGTCAAGTCTCTCGCGCGGGATATGCTGATGGTCGAGAACCTTCATCTTGTGTCCGAAATGATGCTTCGAAGCAAAGATGCGATTCGACGGATTCGCAGCCCACACAGTTCCGTCCGTATACCCCACCAACACAAACGGATGCTGCGCGCCAACGGCAAGACACGTCGGCAACCGGTCCCCGTCCATGACTTTCCGCACCTGCGCGGCATACCACCGTGCGTGAACGAACCCGACAGAGGCGTTGAGCGGGTTCGCGGACGGCACGGCGGTGAAGAAGCCGCGTAGGTGGTCGCTCCATTGCATGAGGTTCGGCTGCGGCGTGATGGCGAAGCAGGGGAAGCTTGTCCGCTCGCACGAGGGGTCGGAGAGGTCTACGAGGGTGGTGTAGCCCGCGATCGGGGTCGATGCGATGAGGTACGGATCCGAGGGGTAGGCTGAGTCGAGGTGCATCACATAGGTCGAGTGGACGTCGTGGCGGGCGAGGCAGATGCGTGGGGAGATGGACCAGAGGGTTAGGGAGCCGTCTGAGTGGCCTAGGACGATGCGATTTGTGTTGACCCAGGCGAAGCAGCTCGCTGTCACGTTAGTTTCTGAGGAGACGCCGAGGGATACGACTGAGTTTTCGAGTTTTGCTGTGGAAGTTGTCAGTGTAAAGAACACAAGAGGCAGAGGGGTGCATGTTCTTACTGAATGCGTCCTCTTCTCGGTCGCCGAGTTCCTTGACCGAGACGACGTGAACCTGCCCGTCGCCGCAAAGCAGTGCAAGGAGACCTAGAGAGCCGTCCTCTCTGAAAGGTACCGGGCACCACTTGAGCCGCTTCACCCTGCCCCAGTCGACGCACAGCGTCCTTGCAAGGCGCGCAGGCTGTGCGGCGGGTCTTGAGATACCGTCGCTGTCCTTCTGCCCACGAAGCTCCCACAGCTGTACGATGCCCTTCTTCTCGTTATAAGCGTCCTCGAGGCCCATTTGGTGATCCGTCGGCGGGACCACGGCGAGGGAGAGAATCTGCGATTCCCCCTCTGTTCTCGAGGCCCAATCCATCCCGATAACCATGCCACCGACGTCAAACATCCACCCAGAAGACTTCTCCTCGTCGCCGGAGTCTTTTGTCAGAAGCTGTCCCATCTCGCCAAGTACGACGCTATCGTACGGCGGAATCTCGACTTCTTGCTGGTTCTGATATGGTCCGATCACGGTGACCAGGTGACCACCCGGATTCAACCGGTACCCCTCCGCCTCTATCGCCCCCATCTCCCTCTCGCCTTCGGTCACCCCCTTGGAACCCTTCAACCTCTCAAACCAGCTCTTGGCAGCGCATTTCTGGTCTTCGTTGAAGCCTTCTCCGAGCCACGGACTCGGCACCGGATGCGCAGGCCCGTCGGACAACTTACTCGGCAGCACGGCATACCCAGCCCATCGATTCAGCAACCAACTCGCAACGCCGACAGCCTCCTCCTCGGGCCCATAAAAGAAGTCGAGAACCTGGATCCGCTGGCCACGCTTCAACTCGCCGGTGTAGTAGCGCGTAGGCCGGCCGTCGGCGTGGTAGGTTTCGAGGGCAGTTGTGTCCGTCGGGCGCTTCTTGATCCCGGCGGAGCTGGTGTAGGCGGGCTGCTCGTCGTCACTGCCATCGCCTCTTCTACGTGATCCGTCATCAATGGCTAGGTTGGATGGATCTTCCGCCTCGAAATCATCGTCGCCCCCGTCTACGTCCATGCGGTCGTCGTCATCTTCTGGGTCCGGCAGCGGCGCCTCAAAATTTTCGTCTTCTGGGTCATCGTGTACTTCTTCTGGTGGCTCGCCGTCCGAGCCGTAATCTATGATGGCGACGCGCTTGGTCTTGTTGCGGGGCCGTGTTCGCACCATGACGTGAACGAAGCGGATGTGGTGTTTCTTTTGTGAGTGAAGTGGTTGACGTTGACATGGAATGAGACGTGAAGTGAAAAAAGCAAGTGAACTTTACGAAGGTACGAGTCTCGGAAGCCGGCGCACTGTGTGCCATGCGGGGCCGATTTCTGCAGCGGGACTTGCGGCAGCAACGGGGCGGAGAGATCCGCCCAAAGCCTTGGGTCTTAGCGTCTCCGCCACGGAAAACACAGTGCCAACTGCCATCTGCTCACCTCACCACTCAACTCAACATCACAACCTACGATGTGTCCAATTTTTCTCTCATTCATCAAGTCATCGTGGTCATATAAGCTCTCTGAGATGGGATTTAATACTTTTTTTGAACCAATTCCAGGGGTCTTCGATCTCAACGAGTATTTATGCCGTTCATTCGGCCATGAGTCGCCCGAATCCGATGGCAGTACTGATTGAGCAAGAAGTTCCAAACACCAAGTCTTGAGGCATATTAATATGTTGAACCCAGCCAGGCCAACTAACGCCGGACGCATGTGGTGTTCTCAGCTGGTGATGTGACAATTCCAAGGCTATTTTGGCGTATATTTAGGCAAACAAATGAGCACTCGTATCAAATGAACTGGGGCCTAATTATACCCTTGATCACAAGCAATATCTCATATTAGGTTCCTGATCCTTCGAAGAGTCCTGCGCTCCTTCAGGACAGGGATTCGCGCGAACCAGCTCCGCCACCCTGGGATGGGCCCGTCCTGGTTCACTCAAAAGTCCTAGACCACCTCGCTCAAGACCAAAGTCTCGAATTTTTGGCCCTTCCTTGAGTTATTCCGTCCTTCCAAAAGTTGTCATGTGGCTAGTTGCTATCACATTCATGGCAAAGTGAAAGTGAGATGAGTTCGGACATCACTTTGGACGCCGAAGGATTCGTCAGGGGCAAGACCTCAATGGAAGAGAATGTAAGCGGTAGTAATGATAGTTTTACACAATCCCCCGGTTCTACCAACGAAGAGTAAGTAAGATACGTAACTTCCTGACACAATCCTCGATGACTTCACTCAAGTCGCTCAACCATTGAGGTGCCTAGTGCGATGAGAGAGAATGCAGACTCTCATAAGCTAGGATTCGAGGATGGAGCACCCCTCGAATCAACGAGACAAGATCCAGCACCAAAGGGCGACCTCATCCTCATCGTAGGACCATCCAGACATGAAATCCGCGTTTACCCCCTCGTTCTCTCCAATGCCTCTCCTATCTTCGCCTCAACGATACCAAGAGCAAACTATAACAAAGACCCCGCCCAGTCAGATCCAGCACGCCTTTCCCTTTCAAACGACGACCCCAAGGCCATGGACATCATATGTCATGTCCTGCACCGCAACAGCCTGAACGCAGACATCAGAAAAATCTCGCCCACCTTGATCTTAGCTGTTGACAAGTCTGCTGGCAACCCAAAACCCGGCAAACCAATTGATGGCCAACCCGCCGACTCCAAGAGAAAACCAAGGGAGGCGACTGATCGTGAACAATCACCCTTAAGACAACTACTCTCGACAATGGCAAGTCATCCGCGTCCCGAAGTCTAGGCCGACCTCAAAAGGCTCCGAGAAGTAATCGAATCGGACAAATCGCAAGTCAACATCCAAGATAAATACAAGACAGCGCCTCTTCACATTGCCGTTCAGCATGGCCTCGTCGGTGCCGTTGAAGAGCTTCTCAAAGCTGGCGCCAAGCTTGAAACTCGGAACAGCGCAGACTTGACGCCTTTGATGATGGCTACTGAGACTGAGCAAGTAGATATCATGGCCCAGCTTCTCACGCCTAGATCGGGATATGAAGGTGTCGCGTCTCAACTAGAGATGTGCTTCAACACAGGAGAGACTCCTCTCTTATGGGCAACGATAAATGGCTTCTCAGAAGGCGTCAAGCATCTCATCGCTGCCGGTGCAGACTGTAACGGCAAGAATATTTGCACCGGATCGACGCCTTTGATAGAAGCTAGCATCTGGGGTTACTGGGACATAGTAGAGATGCTTCTCGACACCAGTAACCCCAATGGCCGTGCAGATATCGATCTTCAGAGTGAGAATGGGGCTACTGCTTTACATGAAGCAGCCTATAGAGCGAGTTTTGCGATTGTCAATTCGTTGCTGAACGCGAATGCCAAGTTGAACATCTTGTGTCAAGATGGAAACGCCCCTTTGCACATCGCAACGAACCAAGGCAACGAGCACCTGGTCACATTACTGGCAGTTTCAAATGTCGATGTGACCAACGCATTCGGACAGACAGCTTTGCATTTAGGGAGCAACAATGGAGATGTGCGTATTGCTCGGCTACTTTTAGAGGCGAGGGCCACTGCAGATGCACGCGATGAAGATGGCCTCACTCCGCTTCACGTCGCCATCAAAGCCCTACGAAACGTCCAAAATGACCTGGCCTTGTATCAATCAGGCTTGGGTGATTTGACGGAGGAAACAAGAAACATAGCAGAGCTTCACTCCGGTCAGTATGTGAGTACAATAGAGCTTCTGCTCTCCGATGGGGCTGAACCTGGGGCCCGAACCCCCGAGAATGAGACAGCCCTACATTTCGCTGTAGCATGTGGCGAGCTCTTTTCTCTCCAAATCATTATGGAGTACATGAAGCAGGAAGATCTGCTGATCCGTAATAAGAACGGCCAGACCGCACTTTCCTCTATCCTCAAGCTTAAAGGACAAAGGCGAGCTACCGCGATGAGAACCTTTCTTAAGTTGGACTCCCCGAAGATTGACGAGTTCGACCAAGAAGATACGTGGGAACATGCCCTCTATTGGGCTGCAAACGATCCTAAGTTACACGACATCGTGCGACTGATTTTGCAACACATGACCCGAATGGATACTACACTACCACCTGGCTCTGAGAACCGGAACGCAATCGGTTGGGCAGCAAACCTACAGCTTCCCCGATTACTTATACTACTGATATCAAGATCACCTGGGACTGTTGAAGCCACAAAGGCGCTGGAGTCAGTTCTGGCGTCTAACTTGGAGTTGGTAGAGGACCCTGGTAGCAAAGACTCTATTGGCGAACTTCCCCTTGTGATATGGCTGTTCATTACTGCTTCTTCGCGAAACCGCGAAATGCAAAATAATTTGATAGCAGCCTTGAATACACTAGAGACCCTAATCTCCAGGATCAGGTCACGAAAAATGGACCCTAGAAGCAATGCCGGAGGAAATGAATATCTGGACGAGGACCAATAAGGTGACCAGAGAATAAGCGACAGTGGAAAAGCGGCGGGAACCGAAAAGCAACGAGAAAAAGTGGTGGGAATCGATAGGCAGCAACCGAGATCAGATCAGAGATGCCTCGAGTTAGAGCACTTGGAAGCGCTCAGAAATATCCTCCTCGACCCTTCCCTTGCACGAGTTCACAAAGAGCCGATGAAGTACGACATACCGCAACCCAATATCAAGGAGTCCCATCAAGATGTACTGGAAGAGTTCAAAGCCAGCATCGTACAATTTTATGAGGCCAAGGGCGTCTCAGGAACCCTTGAAGCCCAGAGGCCAGTCCGCGAGGTTATTTACGAGGCCGGACCAACAGAGATCATGCAAACGGGGACAGCTATGCAAACAGCTGTCGCAAATTTATATCGAGACGATTTGAGCAAGGTTACTCCCGGTTGGGCGGCGCCAGTACCCAGAAACGAAAGACATTGGCCGCAGAAGCACCGTGCAAGCCAACATCGACAGCGCCAGCACCGCGTCGAAGGCCGAGCTGCTCCAGGCTTCGCATGAGGACACTGGTGTGTTGCGCTTACACGAGGAGAATGTAACTGGCGGGAACGTCCGCGTTGCTATCATGGATGCTGCGATTGATGTGACTGCACCCGGCCTGAGAGAAACGAACATCGCATACACGGCCAACTTGCGGACCGGCGCTAATAAATCAGCTGGGAGCTGTGATCCGCACGGCACTGGTAATCTTGGCATTGCCGGTGGGAAGGGCGATCCGCTATGGGGCTATACCGGTGTGGCGCCGGATGCCATCTTTGAAGCAATCGCCATCACTGACTGCGTCAACGCCGTCAACGGAGACGATCAGGTGAACGACTTCCTTCAGATGTACGAACGGCATTTGGACATAATTGCCATTCCTTACAGTTACGAGTTGGAATATCCTGAAGGCAAGTGACACTCGTTCTATATGGTTCAGCACCTTCGCGCGTTGACTCGCTGACTGTGAGGCTAGCAGCCCCTTGGCCCGCTTTGATTGAGCGTATGTTCAACAACGGTACTCTTGTAACTACTTGTGCCGGCAACACCGGTCCGGTATTATACTCGATTAGAGCCCCCACGGCCAGTCGCGGTGGTATGCCTATCGGTACCTACGATACTTCCCTCGTTCCGGTTTACACATGGCAAGGGAATTGGACAGCAGGTGGCGAGAGTGGCCCCTTATACTACCACCCGAGTGATCCCACCGATGTCCAAACCTTCGATATGCCCGACCAGATCAACTTGACATTGTGGTGGCCCGGAGCTTTCGACCCTACAGCTCTGGAGGGTCCGCAGGATGTTGTCTCCCCTTGCCGGCCTCTTCCAGCGAACGCAAAACCGCCCTCAGATCCGGCAACCACGATACTTCTCCAGTCAAGATACGAATGCTGGAGCGACCCCGACGACACATCATTGGACATCACCACCAAGTATGGAATACCATATGTTATGGGGTACGCTCCCAACTATGCCTTTCTCGCATTCAGCATCCCCCGGATGGGCAGCACGAATCTCAGCCCTTCTGTACGTGCGGCAGTCAATATTGGGCTTGATGAAGCGGCAAGGCTTGTCTCACTGCTCGCAAAACACGACCGCGTTGATCTTTCCCTGGCCGGGGATCCATCTTCGGCCAAAATGAACCTCAGCTTCATCACCAACAACCAGACTGGTCTTACGCCATCATCTTGGACAACCTGGGGTCCGGCTCTGGATACCCACATGAGCGTGGCTGTTCTTGGACCGTCGCAGTACGTCGCCATGCCGTTCCCTGCACGCCTCGGCGGCCTCGGCGTATGGGCCGGCACCAGCTTTTCAACCCCGTACCTGGGCGGCGTTGCCGCCCTCGTAAAGTCTGCACACCCTGAATGGTCGCCGCGCCAGATTCGCAATGCTATCGTGGCCACAGCACGTCCTGTGAATTACAACGACGGCATTCCGAACTTCAAAGTTCGTGATCTCAAGGCCCCGGTCCAGCAGCAAGGGGGTGGGATGGTCGACGCCTGGTCTGCTGTGCGGAGCGCCACCGTTGTCAACGTGACGGATCTTGCTTTCAACGACACCGATAACAGACCACCGTTCCTAAGTTTCACCCTCAAAAACACGGGCGTCGAGGAGCTCTCATATCAACTGGATCATGTACCAGCGGGGTCAGGCTACGTGATCGATCCGGCAGCCCCTTACACCTTCTCGTTGCGGAACATTAGCGATGCCTACGCCAGCATATCGATTTCTCCCACAACTCTGACTTTGAAGGGCGGCGAATCTGCGTCCGTGGCAGTATCGATCCGCTCCGAGTCCGAATTGGCCGATGCAGCAAGTCGGCTATCATTCTTTGGCGGTTATATCGAGGTCCTTTCATCAGCTTCTGAGGCTAATACTCTGACTGTGCCTTAGACCGGCTATGGAGGACCGCTGCTCAACTTACCCATCATTGATCGCAGGCAAACCAGCTTGATCGGAGTCAGGCTGCCGGACTTTGCACTCATCGATATCGAACCCGGCAGGGTATTTAATGCCACCTACGACGGCAGCGTCGGCATTGACGAGAACCCCATCACCTATCCCGATGGCATATATCCCGCGTTTGCCTTCCAGCAAGTTGTGAGGAGTAGATTGGTAAGTTATTCCATGGTGAACACGAAGACTGGCGAAGCACCGTTTCACAACGACACCGTCAGTACAGACGCGGAGCCAATGAGTGCAGCTTGGTTTTGGGGTGGCTCAGAGGACAACAGAACATTTGTGCCTGCTGGAACCTACGTCTGGGAGATACTCGCGCTACGGATGAATGGTGACCGTGAAAACCCAACTCATTTCGAATTCTGGAGATCAGACGAATGGAGCCTAGTTTACAGTCTGAACAGTACTGGCTTGCCTACGATATAATGCCTCTATCGAGCAACAGTTAGACAAGCAGGGGTCATTATGTGTCCATTGGAGAGTATATTAATCACATCCTAAGAAAATCGTTCGATTTCACTTAGTTATTATTTGTATGATAATGTCATTGAAGACTTTAGTTGATTTTTCATAGGCTGAAGTCGGCGCAAAGCTAACAGCTACAAGGTCTCGGCATCTATAAAAAGTGAAAGATGACGAGGGCCGCTTTGCTATGAATGACAGGCACCATAGTCTTCATCAAGACAAAAAGCCCTAACAAACCTGACCTCGGGCATACCCAGAAGCGCCTCCCTCATAAACCCATCTTCAACATCCAAAGCCACCGCTCTCGCAACACGTATCCTCGCCTCCGAGCTCCCTCCATCGCCCATCGCCTTCCCATCGCCCTCTCGACCCCCTTCCATCTCTACCTCGCCATCGCCCATCACCATCATAGATGCCGCAGCAGCCCGAGCCATAACCCACCCCCTCGCAACCTCACTCATCCAAGTCCCATTCAACCTCCTCATCCACTTCTCATCCCTCACAGCCCTACCCATCCTCTCCGTCCCACTCCTCGCCCAAAGCTCGAGATCAAACTCCAAAAACACTGGATTCCGCCACCCAGAGCCCAGCACGCTTTTCACCCTCGCAATCTCATCCGCGTCCTCCAGATCCGTGACGACGATCGTAGTCCCACAGTCACCGTCACCGCCGCAGACGTTACCGACGCCAAACATACGTCTCACGGCGTCCCGACCATGCGTGCTACACTGCACACCCACAAAATCAAACTTCAAACTCACGCGCTTCACCAACGCCGCGCGTTCGAAAAGACGGGCATACCACTCCGCCTCAGCGCGACCCACGAGAACATGTCGCGCCCTCTGTACCAGATCCCTGATGCCCCGCGGCGAATCGCCTTCGACGTCAACCCAGCCGTCTACCTCCAACACATCGCGGGACCCATCAAACCAATAACACCGCGTCCTGGCCCCTTCGCCCTTCGTGCTCCCCTCGTAGGTAAGTCTCGCCAGCGCGCCGTACTTCGTCGCCACGGCCCGCGACTCACGACATGCTCCGGCAATGGCAGGCGGGAGTAATGGCAGTGGAGACGATGATGACTTGCTCGTTTTCGTCTTCTTCCCGTTCCGTGCGTCTAGACGGAGGACACGTGAAGGGATGGCGACGAGGGACCAGACGCGGTGTCGTAGTTCGGGTGGCAGCTGGCGGAATTGCGGAAAGGTTGGGTATTGGGGTTGCGTATCCGTATCGTGGTGGGAGAGTATAGTCTCCATTGCGGCGAGGCGCGCTTCCAAGGCCGTCTGAGACTGTGCGATTCTCTCGAGGAGGTGGAGAGTTTGCTCTTGGAAGGTTTTTGATTCCATGATGTTGTTTGAATCCAACCGAGATGTGCTTCTGGCGTGAGAGAGTCAAGTTGATCTAGTTCGTCGTTTGCTTCGTGGTTGGCTCATGTGAGAGAGGCGTGTCACAGCTCTTTAGACTCCCACCGGCGATGTCTGTAATAAGGAACATTACAAGTTCCAACCTCAAAAACTCACCGCCAGAAAAACCGGGAACCGCGGGAAAGACCATCCTTTTTCATCACATCTCTATCTGAACACAAAAGGAGCCGTATTCGCTTCATCCCCACCTCAAATGTCTTGGCTCTGAGCGCCGACCTACTTCGTCTGGTGTTTACTGTTCGGTTTGTCAGTCTGCAAAAGCATGCAAGTCTCGTAGGTAAGCATCTTGGTAAGCGTTGTAAGCAAGTCCGCTCCCCGACTGTGCATGCAGCCAGTGCGGGACTTGATCATTGGCGACAGGGGTACTATTGGCTCTGATTGGGTAGCCCGTTTTCGGACCACACGGACGGGAGTGAGGCACTCTGCAGTGTCTGCACAGTAATACATGACATCCCATCCTGGGCTCCATAGGATTTCATATGATCATCATGACCCTCTCTTTATTTTTGATTTATAGCTTGAAGTCGGCATTGTTCTTTTCCCAGCCCTTTGGAGTCTCCTCCAGATCGGCCACCTTATCAACGAGCTTCACCTTGAGATTCCGATTCCGCTCCGTGCATAGTTCGTAGGTTGTGCTGAGGTTGAAGAGGAGGGTGTGCGATGAGTAGCCGGACCCGACCATGTCCTCAAAAATGGCTCGTGCCTGATGTGCCTGGGTGTCAGCGTCTTTGTCATGCTTGAGTTGTCATGAAGGTACCCATGGGACCACAAGTAACAACACGAGAACGAGAGAACTCGAGAAAGGACTCACCTCTGTCAATTTGCCAGTGTAAAGAAGACACACCGCCATGTTGACGCCAACCATCTCGTCGGCGACTTCCTCTCTCAGCCCTCTCCATGATGCAAGCGCCGCCTCGTACTCCCCATCAGCCATCTGACAAAGCGCGCCCACAACCTCCTCAGCATGCTTTCCATCCTCCCTAGCATCCTCGCCTCGCACGACGCAGCGCCGCGCCGCGTCCGCATCCCCCAAGTGAAGCCACATCAGAGCCCTCGAAAGCGCCATCTTGCCGTCCCCGCGGTCCTTAAGCGTAGCCAAGTGATGCGCCGCGCCAGCAGGGTCATCCATCTCGACCAGCGCGCCCGCGACAGCAACACCCAAATCCTGCAGCCGCGCCTTCCAGAGCTCCCTCGCCGAGTTATCGTGCCGGGCCGTCGCCTTGCTAATCTGCTCGCGCGCCTCCCTTGCCAGGTCGTGGTAACTCATGACGGACCTGCGCGGGTCGCTGAACCCGAGGGCCTGTAGCCGCACGTTGAGCACGCGCAGCTCCCAGGGGACGAGGTGCTCGCCCGTAGTCTCGTCAATGTAGACGCCCGCATTCAAATCTTCTAGCGCTCTTACCTCCTGTGCCGCCACCGCCGTCGCGTCGATGAGCGTGAGACACGCCAGCCTCGTGTACAGCAAGCTGAAGATCCTCTGGTGATCCGACGGTTCGACCCTAGGCCGGGCAGGGCCGCCCGTGGCCGTCAGCTCCTGGACCGCGGCGATGGCGGCGGCGCGGAAGTGGCCCTTTGCCAGCAGGTCTTCGAGCGGAGCATCGGCGGCCGGCTGCTTGGATGAGTTCCTGAACGCGACCGGGACGTTGACCGGTTGAACGGTGTGGTAGATCTCGGGCCGCAAGAGGAAGCCAAAGTCCTTGGTGACGGTCGTCTTCAAGGGTGGTGCTGCGGGAGAGTGAGGCAGCGCTGGCGAGCGTTGTCCTGATATCGGGCGTTGCTGCGGCTTGTCCTCTGTGGCGGCGGCTTTTGGAGACAGCGGGTCATTCAGAGGGGTGCTTGAGAGTCTGTTAGAGAAGACCGATATTCCAAGATGGGAAGTGAAACTCACTCGTCCAGGTCGAGCGGACCCTTAGTCGAGGACCGTGGACGAACCGCTGTACGAGAAGGGTCAGTAAAGATTTGGTGACATTTCTCTCATCTCCAATCTCATGAGCTTTGGGCCACAGCTTCTGAAAGGACCTAGGCTATGAGAGGACACTCAGAGGAAAAAGGGCCCTGGGAGAGCAGCAGCCCTGACAAAGCAAAAGCGTAGTAAATAGGACTTACGTCTCGTCACTGATATGTTTCGTCCATGTCCGCGATTTATTGGAGGTTGGCTCATCGTATCGAAGACTGAGGGGATCTCAAAGGTGTTGTTTAAGTGAACAAACTGGATGATGGACCTGGATGAAGCTCAGCAGGTATCGAAGCTACCTTAGTTGGTCTGTGCTGCGATCGCTGAGAAGCTGGACCGGGGAAACCCCCCACTTATGCGATTAAGACGCACAGACACCCGGAAGACAAGCACCTGTAGCTTTCAACATGTGCATCGTATGCATGGAATTTCTGGTCACGTAGAGCATGACACAATGAGATCTCACACATTTCATAGCGTAGCAGTTATGGTGGCAAAGGACTTCTATTAGCCGGCAGTGATATCTAAACCGAAAAAAGGCAGAGCTTTTTGACCATTCCCAATATCTCAAGTTTCCATCAGATATTCGTTCTCTAACTCTTGGCAGCACCGGCCTTGATGAGCAAGATGTCTCCATCTTCCACAACGTAATCCTTGCCCTTGGTCATAACCTTGCCCTTGGCCTTGACCTCGGCTTCAGTGCCGAGTTCCTTAAGCGTGGTGAAGTTGTAGACGAGGACTTGAATGAAGGTCTTTTCAAAGTCAGTGTGAATGACACCGGCAGCCTGGGGCGCCTTGGTGCCGTTGCGAAGAGTCCACTGGCGGACTTCGTCCGTGCCGGTGGTGAAGAAGCTGCCAAGGTTGAGGACCTTGCGCATCTGAAGAACGATCTTGGGCAGAGAGGACTCGGCACCAACGTTCTTCTGCTCCTCCTTGGACTCGGCCTCAGTCTCGTAGCGGGTCAAACGCTCCTCGAAAGAGACGGAGATGGGGATGATGGGGTCGCCTTGAGCGTTCTCCTTGACCCACTCGGCAACCTTGGGAAGGTACTTGTTCTTCTTGCGAATGAAGTCCTTCTCCGAGAGGTTGACCAAGTACACGACGGGCTTGGCGGTAAGGAGGAACAAGGGGTTGATAACCTCAATCTGTTGTTTTTGTCAGGAACGGTTCTCTCTCATAGTTTTGCGATAAAGTGTATGAGGGAATTGTGTCAAATCAGAATGGGGTTTTTGTCTCAATATGCCATAGCATTCGAAGAGCTGGGTTTATAGTTCGGATCTTAGATCCTTTGTCATCATATGACGAGGGGTGTGTGAAGAGGAAAAGAAATGCAGTTGTCGGTCTTACCTCCTTGGGGCCCCAGGTACCCTTGCGGACTTCCTTGCCGTCCTTCAAGTGCTGAAGAATCTTCTCAATGGTAGCCTGCTCCTCCATGGCCTTCTTGTGCTCGAGGCCCTTGCCACCAGAACGAGTCTTCTTCTTCTGGTTCTCGAGGGCCTTCTCGGTGAACTCGATATCCTTCAACCGCAGCTCGTCGCTGATGATGTCGAGATCACGGGTGGGGTTGACGTCACCCTCGACGTGGATAATCTCGGCATCGTCGAAGCAACGAACGACCTGGAAGATGGCATCGACGGCGCGAATGTGCGACAAGAAGGCGTTACCGAGACCGGCACCAGTGGAGGCACCTCTCGTCAGACCGGCGATATCGTACACCGTAAGGTTGGCAGGCACGCGCGACTTGGGGTTGTACTTTTCGCAAAGCCAATCATAGCGATCATCGGGGACGATGACACGTGCCTCCTCAGGGTCGATAGTGGCGTAGGGGAAGTTGGCTGGGTTTCCCAGGTTGCACTTGGTAATGGCCTGGAAGAGGGTGGACTTTCCAACGTTTGCAAGGCCAACCTGAAGAGAAGAGAGGGGGGTCAGCCTGATCCCGCACAGGTTCTAAGGCCAAGGCGAAGGCGAAGGCTTAAGGCGCAGCACCCACAATTCCACTCTTCAGGTTGTTACCGGGCCTGCCCAGGAGGATCTTCTCCTCGACGACTTGCTTCTTGGGAGGCATTGTGCGTCTTGATTTTGCGTAGTGACGTGTGGTGGTGTAGAGTAAAGTGCAGTGAAGCACTTGAGCTTGGCGAAAGGCAGAGCTAGCTGCGCGGGGTAGCAAAGAGGGAGATTGAGAAGTGAAGGAAGAAGGGAGGAGGATGAAGGACGTCGTTTTGGCGACTCTTGGCTGTGTGACCAGCCCTCAATCACGCGGATTTGCCCGACGACTCAGAGAGCAGAGCGGTAGAGAGAGAAGAGAGTAGAAAGAGGAAGAGAAGCCTCGAGGATTGTTTGATCGAGAAAGAAAAAGCTTTCGCGACAGAGGTGTTGTGGCCGGCCTGGTTAGATGAATTTTAATGTGCCCCACCAAAAACGGGGCCCGGGTACCTGAAGGGGTGGTGCGGCGTGACGGCGTTTCTGTTCTGCCGGGAGTGAAGGTCGAATCTGGAAGGCGCTGACAGCACCACTGAACAGTGAAGCAGGGCAGGAACGATCCAAGCTGGGAAGCTCGAAGGAAGGTGCCCAGAAAGCTTGAGGAAAGCGCGGGGCTGGGAGCCACCTCTGACCTCATTCCTTGCACCTTATTGGGTCGCAATTGGCTCAACCCGCTTGCAGTGAAGAGTACTTGTGCATCCCGCAGACCACCACCAAACTTCTATGACCCAAGTCTGAAGGAGCATGTACCTCGAAGCTCACCTCAACCAGCAACCTCCAAGTTCCTTGAGGTCGTTTAATGCAGCCCAGCACACTGGACCTGGGCACCCAAGCACCAAGGCACCTGGGCACCACATCGGCATCTCATCCTCTTTGCCTTTCTGCTGACGCCCGCTTTCTCTCTGCGCCGAGCACCGCCCGAGCCAAGCCCAAGGAAGCTACGAGACCTGTCTTGAGGTTCTTTGCCGGGTGCATTTGCGTTTGCTCCCGTTTCCTTCTCGTCGCGAGTGACGAGTCCCCTCAAACGTTTTTGTCTTTCTGCAGCCAGCCTAATTCATTGCCTTTGCGCCCTTCATTCACCGAAACATCCTCCATATTCTTTTGTCCTAGGGATCCTGAGTATTTCCTAAAGCGCATTCCATTTATTCCCCAGACTGGCCCTCTTTCCGTTTCGTGCCTCGTCTCATCTTCTCCAACAACTACCGCCCCTCCCAGTCCCACCGACTCGCGGCTGCTTTCACGACGTAACCTAGACTTCCTTACGCCAAAAAGGCAGCAGCACCGCAAGCTACCAAAACACCTCACCCGACAAATTGGAAGAAAATGCCTCCACGATCGAGCAATCCCAGGCAGTCAACAGCATCGCATAGGTCGACATTGTCCTTATCCAAAACCGAAGTCACAATCCATGTCTATGATCTGCTTCCTGTAAGTTGCTTGGACCCACCGAACCGAGAGCTTGGTTCCGTCACCGCCAGCCCAGCCCAGCCCAGCTAACAAAGTGACTTGCAGCCAGGTCGCCTATCCTCTGTTCTTTGGACATTTGGCGCTTCACTACTGCACTCGGGTGTCGTGATCAATGGCAGAGAGTATGCCTACGGCGGGCACGAGCGACGAGGTGTGACGGGAGTCTACTGGACAAAGCCAAAGACGGAGCCCCCCGGCGGCACTTTCAAGTCCGAGATCCTCCACGGCTTCACCTTTGCGACCCAAGCCGAAATCGACACAATTCTAGAAGAGGCCTCGAAAGACTTCCTCGGCACATCCTACAACCTCTTGACGAAGAATTGCAACCACTTCACCTCGTATCTCTGCAGAAAGCTTACCGGCCGTCCCGGTCCCGGCTGGCTGAACCGTGCGGCAAGCATCGGCGTCGCATTGCCCTGCGTTGTCCCTAGGGACTGGATCGACCCACCCGAGTACGATACCGCCGACGGCGCACTTCTGGAAGACGAGGAGGAGGACGATCGTGCTCACGAAGGCTCTAGGATGCTGAAGCAATCGCCACCGAGATTCCTCACCGAGGATTCAAAGGGTCAAGCCGAGGACGCAGACTGGGATAGTGAGGAGGAGCGACGCCGCGGCGGCAATGGCAAGGGCAAGAAAGCCGTAAGAGATACGGCAGGGCGCGATCTACCTGCTGCCGAGAGGGCTCCAGATCGAAAGTAGAAGGGCCGTTGAGGCTACCCTCTCCAACTGTGCGGCATGTTTGGCGTTACAAGGTCTGGCTGGCGTTTGGGTTTAGTGGGCGTTTCGCACTTGATACCAGCGGGGTTGGACATCTGCATTTCGATATGAACCATCAGAATGCAAGGAAATTTTGCTCTTGTGATATGATACAGTTGTACAAGTATTGTACAGGCATTGTGTGTTGCTCCTCCCCCCCACGAACCCCAGACGGCGTAACTCCTCCTCTAGACACGTCTCGGGTTCTTGCTCCTCGTTCCACCAAACTTCAATCTCGTCGAATCCGCCACCCGAATGACCTTGCTTCTCCAGAGCTTACCCTCGGGGGCCATGAGAACCTTGACTGCCGCGTCACGTCCAACACCGAATCCTCTGAGCACGATCTCGAGCTTGTTGATCTTCTTGTGCCATCCAGCGTAGTTCAACCTCTCGAGGACGTATGCCGTCAATTGGTAGGCGGCATCATATCCTTTCCTCTTGGACTTCTTGAAGCCGATGTTGCCGGTCGACAAGGAAATGATGGCACCACGGTCTGGCTTCGTGACCGTCACGTGCGTGTTATGCTTATGGGAGTAGATGTGCATGTGGTATGGCTCCAAGAGGTCCTCTTGCTCGGGGACGAGGTCGTCGAGACCTGAGCCGCTTGAGGCGAGACCGCCTTCTGGCGACTTCTTGCCGGCAGCCTTATTCAAGCTTTGGAGAAGCATTGTCTGGTTGTGGCTGGGCGAGCCGGTTGCCGGCGTCGTCGAGGCGGGTGTTGAGGTTGTGGAGCGGGAGCCGTACATGGCAGCGAGGAGCTCCTGGCCTCCTTTCTTCGCGTCGTCGGCGCGCTGAGTTGGGGTCTGGGAGAAGGGTCGGAGGAATGCCGGGGAGCATCGTGTTATCGGGGATGGGCGGGCGACATTCTGGAAGAGAGATCTCGCCAAAAGGCGACTCGTCGGTGCGGAGCTCATCGCGGGGGTTGTGTCAGGCTTCTTCCTGTCGCAATGAGGAAAGAAGGTGGCCTGTCGTGACGATGATGGCCAGCCGTAGTGAAGATTTCAGAAATTTGGCAAAGCTCCCGTTCAACGTCTGGAGACATTGCCGCTGTCTGATTGGTTCCGAGATGCAGCGCGGCGCCGGGTCGTCTTCGGTTGAACAGGGGCCCAGATTTTTTCCGCGCTCCGCTGTCAACCAAGATCGCTCGCCCAGCAGAGCCAGAGCTTCTGGAACACCCCCGTCGGAACCTGTCGCGAGCCAAAATTTCTTTGCAACTTTACTCGCCCCCAATCGTCATCCGCCATCCCCTTTCCGCCCCTCTCCTCCTCTTTCCCTTTATATCCTCTTTGCGTTATCGTCGAGAGGCGGTTGGCTTGGATTACACATACAGACATACACAGTATGAACTCTCTCGTGCAATCGGCGAGGAGAAATCCTCAGCATGCGCTCGTGAGAGCTTCCGCGCGGGCGGCAGTCCAAAACCACAGCAGGACACCCGCCTTCAGCCGGTTACTTTCCACAGACATCAGTGGCAACGCTGCGCTGCTGGCCTCATCACGACACACCTTTGCACGACCCACCTCTTTGCGATCACAGTTCCTCCCTGAAGATGTCCGCAGCATCTCGAGCTCGATGCAGTCGCGCTCTTTCCACCTGACGGCCAGACAGCTCCAGCAGCAGCAGACCGAGAAGCCTAAGGCACCCGAGGATGGTTCAAAGCCCGCCGAGGATACCGCGAAGCCCACCGAGGAGGCCAAGCCCAAGGACGCCGAGTCTGAGGCCAAGGAGGAGTCATCCGAGAAGAAGGAGGGCGAGAAGGCCGAGGGAGAGGAGGGTAAGGAGGGCGAGGAGAAGCAAAAGGAGAAGAAGGAGGATCTGCCGCCTCCTCCGCCCCACGGTGACAAGACGCCGTGGGAGGTCTTCAGAGAGACGCTCACGACTGAGTTTGGCAAGTCAAAGGAGTGGAACGAGTCGACAAAGGCACTCTCTGGTGAGATCCAAGACTTTACCGAAAGCGAACGAGTCCGCAAGGCCCGCGAGGCCTACGAGAAGTCCTCCGGTGCCATCTCCTCTGCTGCAACTTCTGCCGTCAAGACCACTGCTGGAGCCATTGGAAAGGGAGCCGCCTGGACCTGGGATACCACCGCCATGAAGGGCGTCCGCAAGGTCGCCAACGTGACGGGAGATGCGCTCGACAAGGCGACCAAGCCCATCCGCGAAACCGAGGCGTACAAGAACGTCAAGGATGTTATCGATGACGGTAGCAGCTCGCGCTACGGAGGCTGGGTTGAGAAGGAGGAGCGCAGGAAGAAGCGCGAGGCCGAGGCTGCCAAGAACGGCACGCCGGAGATTATGGAGGAAGACCCCAAGTAAGTCTTGGAGAAGGCGTATTGCCTGCAGGGTTTGCGGGTCTTTTGACTGACTGTGATGAAAGCGCCGGCACCAACGTCACGCTCCACAAGGACGCCGCCTGGAAGGAGGCGTGGAACGAGTTCAAGGACTCGAACAAGTTCGCCCAGGGCTTCTTCAGCGCCGGCAAGGTCTACCGCGAATCCGAAAACCCCCTCATCGAGACCGCGCGACTCGTCACGGACAAGATTGGAGGCTGGTTCGCCGAGAACGAGACGGCCCAGGTCATCAAGAAGTTCCGCTCAATGGATCCCGGCTTCCGCACCGAGCCCTTCTTGAAGGAGCTCCGCGAATACATCCTGCCCGAGGTCCTCGACGCCTATGTCAAGGGCGATATTGAGACGCTCAAGCTCTGGCTCTCCGAGGCGCAGTACTCCGTGTACGAGGCCCTGACGAAGCAGTACCTCACCGCCGGCCTCAAGTCGGACGGCAAGATCCTCGATATCCGCCACGTCGACATTGTCCGCGCGCGCATGCTGGACCCTGGTGAAATCCCCGTCTTCGTCATCACCTGCAGGACACAGGAGGTGCACGTCTACCGCAACGCAAAGTCTGGCGAGCTCGCGGCTGGCATGGAGGACAAGGTGCAGCTGGTGACATACGCCATTGGTATTACCCGTGTACCAGAGGACGTCAGCAACCCGGAGACGAGAGGATGGCGTCTCATTGAGATGCAGAAGAGCGGAAAGGACTACTACTAAACCACCACCGCCGCCACCACCGACACGAACAATACTATTATAAACCCCACTCCCGACTTTTAAGGGGAGTATACTTCTCAAAGCGACGAAGATGTTTGGATGATGAGCAACAACCTACAAAAAAGCCACCTTCTCGCAAACAAAATCCGCAAACAAAATCTTCAGCCGACAAAAAAGTGTTTTACTACTTGTACAAAATAGAAACCGGGGGGGGCATATGGGGCTGGCGATCAATTTTGCCACAATGGGATGTGTGGCCGAGGGGGAGGCAAAACAAAACCAACACCGCTCTTGAAGGCTGTATGTGTACGTGTAGAAGAAAAAATGTGTCTTTCATGTAGACGAGGCGATTACCCATACTTCGCGATGTAATATCAACGAGAACTGAAAATGTCCTCACCCCATCATTGCTCCCTTTGAGCCATCTCTTTCGCCGTGTCATTCGCCGTCTTCTCCTACCTCTTCCTCTCCCCGCCTCGACTTCTTCGCAGTCCCTTCGTCTACGACCTCACTCTCCTCCAGACTCCGCCTCCTTTTCGCTTTACCCTCAGCAACCTCCCTCTTCTTCCTTTTCATCTCCTCCTCCACCTCTTCTTCATCCCTCAACACCCCCCTAACCTCCATCAAAATCTTACCCAGAAGATTCAACCCCCACCTGTCCCGATCCACACCCGCCGCCTTCTCCGGCGCAAACCCAATCCCCCAAATCCGATCCCTTGGACTCGCCTCCACCAGCTCCCTCCCCCCCGTCGCTAGCAACTGTCTCCGTAACCCCGGCGCAGAGCGGAATTTCAGCAGGTTCCCCTCGCGCACGATGCGTTCCCTGTTCTCGTTCCAGACAGCTTCGTTGAAGTTGTGCACTTTGCGGCCGAGGGCTTTGACTTTGCGCGGGTGGTCTGCTTTGAGGACGGAGAGGGCGACGGAGGGGTCGGTGAAGAGGAGGGCTTTGGCGTGCATCATGTAGTGTTCTGCTGTTTTGAATGTTATGGGCGTCGGGGGGGGGGAAAGAAGATGAGGATAGGGAGGGGGAGGGGGATCGGGTGAAGGGGTTGGAGGTCCACCATTGGGAGAGGTAGCCTTCTTGCCCTGTTTCTCGCCAAAAGTAGATTGGTGATGTGTCCATGACTAATACGGACATGGATTTCAAATGGATTCTTTGAAGGTTGAATGCTTTTCGTAATGGATAGTAAATTTGCATGGTTTATATGTGTTGGTTGATGTTGAAGTGAGGCTGTCGTTGAAGACAGCTGTCTGCCTAGCTGCGTGTTAGTGCCGCCGCCGGATGACTCAACCGAGCTTGAGCGTGAACGCCAAAAGGTGAAGTGAGTTTAGACACAAGACATCACAAGCAGCACAATTTATTACTTTTGCGTGATGGTCGCAATGATGGAAAGTAGATTCGTATTTCTCATGGTACTCAAATAAGTGCCTCGCTTTGGTTTCTGCCTAGTGAACACCAAGCCTGTACACAGTCATGTAAGCCATCTCACTCACCCAGACTTGTAAAGAATCCCATCAACCTGCTCATGCCTCCTCACAGCATCCTCAAAATCAGGCAACCCGCCACCCTCCGCAAAAGCCTCATACACCGCCCCGACACATCTCGCCGGCACAGGCAACCCCGCCTGCCACTCCTCATCCCACGCCCACGGCACACTCTCAACCTCGCCGCTCTCAAAATCATGAACCTCAATCTTGACCCCGTCAACGTCCGCAAAGGCCTGTAGTGCCACGCTCTTCTGCGACGTGAGCCGGATCTCGCCCTTTTCACCATTAATGGTCCACGAGAGCTGCGGCTCGCCGGGGAAGGGCTGGCCACGTCGGAATCGCGCGAGGAACGTGGCGCCTTGGGCGGAGACGAGGTCTGAGGCGGACAGGGTTGCCGTTGCGACGAGGAGATCTGGGACGTTGCTTGAGACCGTCTCGATGATTTGTTGCGTTGACGGGTCGCGGATCTTGACGTCGGGGCGTTGGACTTGGGTGTGGGAGTGCTGGATTGTTGCTTCGCCGAGGACGTGCTGGACCTGGTCGAACACTGGCAGCTCATGTTAACAATGGTTTGTTCTCTCCGGATTCATGCTGATGATACGCACAGTGACCGAAGCCGATGGTAATCACATTCCCCCCAACCTCACGCTGAGTGAAGTACTTCAACCCAGCCGGCAACACATTCCGGTCCAACGAACCACCTGCTGCCCTCACCTCACTACTCAACACCTTCCCGATCTTCCCCTCCTCCAGAATCTCCTTGACCTTCAACAGCGGCGGCGCAAACCGTCCCTGGACCCCAATCACCGTCCTCGCCCCGCTCCTCCTCGCCGCGTCCGCCAGCTCGCCCGCGCGCTTCGCGTCCTGCGCGAGAGGCCACTCGACATACACACTCTTCCCCGCCTCGACGCTAGACAGAGCTGTGTCGTAGTGCTGATCCACGCGCGTCGAGACGACGACGAGGTCCACGTCCGGGTCGGCGGCCAAGTCGGCGGGGCTGCCGTATGCTTTTGTGGAGGAGGGGAGGTTGTAGGCTCTCACTGCGCGCTGGGCGGCTTCGACGCTCGAGTTGCAGAGGGCTGTGATTGTGTATTTTGAGCGGCCGCGCGGGGAGAGGAGGTAGGGGACGTGGGCGCTTGATGCCCATGCTGTTGTTGCGGTTGAGGAGAGGCCGATGATGCCGATTTTGATGGGTGCCATTGTGAAAGCTTGTTTGATGTTGTTTGGTGAGTATGGTTTGAAGGGAAACTATCCGATTGAGAAGTGAGAAAGTTCGGGCTGTGAGTTTAATAGTGAAGCCATGTTATGTATCTTAGTTGAGGTGCGTAAGACTGAAGATGATGTGATGGCCGATTTGTAAGCTGGCGCATCGCAGTGTAAGTCGGTTGGAAGAGGGGTTGCAGCCACCTTGGTAATCAACAACCCCCTCGCTTTGATATCGAATTCTCAATGGAACTGATTGTGAACTACACCAAGCACGCTTTTGTGGTCGCCGTGGAGAGAAACCGCAGTCCGTGATTTGTCACTACTTGAGGTAGCCGGGAGATGAAATCAAGTCAGGGAGGTTTTCTCTGCAACGTTTCTGCATGTCTCATGCATCAAATTACTCTCGAGAAGATCATGCTAAACGTATTCTGCTCAATTTTTGTACAATAAGTCGAGACATACAATATGACGTGTGTTAGAATACGTCTATCAACCTCTCACATTTGACACCGGTCACTCAAGCTCATGTATCCCATGAGTTGACTGCGATGAGATCGGCAACACCATATCCAACACCAGCAACACTCTTCCCCCAGCTCCCAACACCATACTGATCAAATCCTGATGAAATATCGCTAATAAGAAGCCATACCCCAATACACAATCAAGTCAAACCCACAAACAACGAAACCACCAAAACAAACATCCCAAGTCCCACCGTCGTCACACCCGGCCTCGCGGCGCCGTTAGCAACGTGCAACCCCACAATATACGCATCCGTCGAGGAATTCTTCCCATTAGCCGAAAGACACCCCCCAAACGTAGAAAGCGCATTCTTCTTCGCGTCGTAGGTCCCCGGAAGCTCGCACCACTCGTAGCAGCCGCCGGCGAGCTGGACGGGGTTCGGCGCGCAGCAGGCCACCATGGGCGCGTCCGAGGTGTTGCGACCCGGCGTCGCGACGAATGTGATGTTCTGCGGGATCGGGAGGGTGGAGAGCTCTGGAAGGCTGCTGCGGTTGATACATGTTGCGTTGGGCATTGTGGGCAGGTTACGTTTGTTTTAGAGCGTGAGAGGTTGTTGGTGATGATGATGGGGCTGGAGTTGTCTGCTCGATGATTATCCCTGCTATTCGTAAGGTTTCGTGGAGAAGGAGAGTCTCGCAAAGATATCGTGCTTTCACTACTGAATGTCCTCTCATAAAGTTGAAGAAAGGGCCTTGTCCATCCAGGAAACTTCGTAATTAAGATAGATGAGATCTCTGGCGTAGTCCAATATCGGCCCATCTCTAAACAGCTGCCTAGCATCGACTTGGCAGCCCCCAGAACCCAGTCCCGAAAAACCGTACGGCACAGCAGGGCCTGATTCTATAAAAGAACGGACTAACGACCATCGTGACCAAGGGAGCGGCGAAGATCTGGGGTTGGTTCGTTGACGATCTTTGCGATTGACGAATGGTAGCGCTTACTAATGACGTCGAAGGCGACGGATGAGCTGTGATGTTGTCTTAACTCCCCTTTTCATGCGTGGATGAACTAACTAATTCGCTACGGATTAAGTGGAAAGCTAAGGTACTTTGTTCGATTTGGACGTTTGTGTTCCTCAAGTTAAGCACCACCGCTTGGTAAGATGTCGCTACAGCCATCTATCAAGACTTGAAGGGGTTCTTGGCGGCCATGTAGTCTTCGCGATGCCTTCAGTCTGCCTCGACGTACAGACGTTTCGCGAACACTTCATGCCAAGGCCGAGATAATAAGTCTTCCCGCAGCAATCGATAATATATGCGCTTACTCTTAGCCCGAGAGAGAATGAGAATACGGCTTCATTTAATACCTCGACTCTCTAACCATGAAGAAGGCACTCACCACCTCACGAATCCCCATCTCCAAAAACATCCTCAAGATCCCTCAACCTCCCAACCTTCAACATCCTCCCCTCCCAAGCCGTAAGTCCCCCCTCATCAAAATACACACTCAAAATCCCCTCCTTCAAAGCAGGCTCCATATCCCTCACTACACTATCCCCAACAAACACCATATCCCCCGCCCCAATCCCAAGATATCTCAAAACCGCCCCAAACAACCCCTCCGTCTTCGCAACCCCAAAGAAATTCGTCGTCGCCAAGAAATCAATATCCCCCTCAATCCCCAACTCCTTGACAGTCCTCTCCTGCGCATCCTGCGGACCCTCCGTAATCACAGCAACTTTCTTCCCGCTGGCTTTCAACCTCTTGAGTAAGCTCTCCGCGCCATCTTTCAACTGGAGATTCATTTAAAGTCCGCTCATACACATCCAACAACGAATCCATAAACATTGCATCATCGCTCGGCAATCCGAAGCGGTCCAGGACCGAGGCGAAGCGTTCCCGTCGATACTCAAACGACGTCTTGCCGTCGGCAAACGCGGACGCCGTCTTATCGCGTAGGACGTGGCCGTACGCCTCTTTCAAGTCATCTAGGGAGGTCCCGTGTCGTTGGGAGATGGCCTCGAGGGTTTTGGCCGTGGCGGCGGAGGAGGCGCGGCGGTATTCGTGGAGGGTGTCGTCGAGGTCGAAGCCGAACCAGGGTTTTCTCTGCCAGGCTGGCTTTGAGTTGTGAGGTGATTTTGGATCCGTCCATTTTGAGATTCGTTGAACGTTGAACGCAAGTGCTTGTGATGCTTGTGGTTAGCCGTAGCCGTATGCAAGCCGCAAGAAGTCGTCTTTCCACCCGGGCCATCACGGTTGAACCCCCGGAAACCGGCGGAGCCCGCCGTCGGCCCGGATTGCCGTGCTTTGACTCGGTCGATCCATCCTCACGCAAGGGTCATCACGTATCAGGCAAGTTATTGCAAAGTTACCATATTGACTTGCAAATATCTTAATTACCAAAGGAGTCCTGTGCCCCAAAGCGTCTTATCCAGCGTGCTGTCATCCGGCAGCAAGCGCAGCATGTAAAGACTAGTAGTAATGTACAATTGACCGGGAAGAATTACCTCCTCTCACATTATCTCATCGTCTCCAAGGGTCTCATCCACGTCACCAATATCATACCCCATTTCCCTTGCGTCCTGTGCCCTCTCGCTGGCCACGCGTGTGGCGTGCCATGCATCCCACTTGGCCGTGTCGCTAGCTGACTCGACGACTGGCCGCTTCGCAAGTCCCTTCTTGCGGAGACGACGGCGCAGCTGCCGCTTGTCATAAAAGTCGAGTGTGTTGATATCGATAGTCGTGATATCGGTACCTGTCACGAAATCCAACGCATCCGCCCAAAGATCTGACGCCTCCTCGGAATACTGATTAGTGAGTTGGCGGCCTAAGCCACCTGTGGCCCACTCGTCGAGCTTCACTGGGATAGCGACACCCCAAGTGGGATCCGTCGGTGACCAGACGCAAGGTGTCGAAGAACATGTAGTTGGCCGACAGTAAGCCTCACACATGGCAGACTCGGCAGCATACCAGAGTGAGACCATGAGGAATACTAGCCCAAGGAATGTAAGGCGCAAGGGGTTGCGATGATAGAGGCTCGGTACAGGAAGGTGAAGATACGACACTTCCTTGACGGGAGTCTGGCCAACGCAATCTGGGCAATCGCGGGCATGATCCGGGTTATGGCGGTGATGCGACCCCTTAGCCAGCGGCTGCTTCTCAGACACTTTCTCAAGTGTAGTGGCAACGTCATGCTTGCCCTCGGCATGAGAAACCTGCCCCTCCAACCGCTCGATGCCTTGCTTGGCGGTACGAATGTTGAAAAGCCCGTCTTTCAATGTCTTGCTCATCCTGTCGTACTGCTCCAGCTCGTGATTTCGCTGACTCTTGGTAATGTTGGGCTTGGCTGCGACTTCCTCTTTCTTAACCGCAATATCATCGAGCATCGACTCGATATCTATCGATGGGTCGTCCTGAAGCTTCTGCATGTTAAACAGTTCTTCGAAATCGTCCAGTGTGGAGTCTTCAATCTGATGAATGCGTTGAAGTTCCATAATATCGTCCTTGACTGTTGGCGGCTTGACTGAGTTGGTCAGAGGCTTGCGCGGCCGAGAGGTTGATCTGTTGCGGCGTCGCAGGCTGGAAGTCGTACTCGTTCCAGCTGTCTCCTTCTGATCGCTTGTTTCAGAGCCCGATCCACTGGCCTTGAAGAGTGTGTCTGCCCTTGACGACGGGCGTGATCCTCTTCTGCTGTGCGGTCTATCGAAAGTCGCGTTCGACAACGGGCCAGGCCTCGTCAATGGGGGCAGAGTGTTCTCCTCGATCCGTTCGACCTTGAGCGTCGCAGGTGTCTCGACGTAAGCCCCGGTCACCCTAGGTGTAGGGAGAGACAGCGGGTCGACTTTCTTCGGCCGAGGAGTCTCGCCCGCGAAAAGGTCCTTATCCTCATCCTCGGTGGTAGGCTCCGCGGAAGGTGCTCTCGATCCACGCTCAGATTGGTTGTCCGCAGGCGCGAAAAGGTTCATCTCTTGCTCGATGCGGTCGGTAGGATCACCATCAGACAAGGCCACGCTCTTACGGTTGTCCTTGGCGGAGTCGGTTGACTTCTGACGACGTTCCCGGCGCCTTGCAGCGAAGTCCACGCGAGACTTTGGCCTCCGTGCTTCCGGCGCCTTCAGCTCATCTGTGGAACTGGACTTGGAGTCATCCGTCCCTTTCGTCTCAGTAGAAACTGGCTCGGATACTTTGATGGTTCCTCTGCGAGTTCGTGGTGGACTGGCCTTGGGCTCGGCTTCGTGGGCAGACCGTGTGGTCTCGCTTCTGCGCCGCTGTATCTCAGCCCTCTGCGAAGAAGGCTCCTTGGAAGTTTCTTTCTCGAGCCTTTCCATCTCAAGCTTCAGCTTCGCACGCTTTTCCTCCTCAAGCTTCTCTTTTTCGAGTCTTTCCTTGTCGAGCCTCTCCTTTTCGAGCCTCTCCTTCTCGAGCTTCTCCTTTTCGAGTGTTTCCTTCGCGAGTTGCTCCTTCTCGAGCCTGTCCTTCGCAATTTTCTCCCTCTCCAACCTCTCCTTCTCAAGTCTATCCCTGTCGAACCTCTCCTTCTCCAGTCTGTCTCTCTCGCGTGTCTCCTTCTCTAGCCTTTCCTTCTCGAGGTCTTCTATGCTAGGCCTCTTTTTCTCATCTGTAGTTGCGGGTTGGGCATGGGTCTCAGGGGCAGGGCTGCTGCTTGCAGCTCTGGCGAGCCTCTGCAATATGTCCCTCGAATCCGTCCGCGCATGCGCGCCTAATGGCCTCGCAGGCTTGGGACTCGCTCGCTCATTTCGGCTCGCAGGCGTCTCGGATAGCGACTTGTTGCGCTCGCGCACCGGCGAGTCGCGATAAATTGTGACAGGCGTGTTGGCGATATGCTCGCCGTCTTCTGTTGGCCATTCCGACTCTCCACCTGCCTCTCGGATAGGCGTCGACTCTCTCGCAAAGTCCCCGCTGCGCCGAGCTTCCGGCGACACGGATCTCGTCATTGAGTTCTGTTCCCTAATCTCCTCCAATCGGCTAGTAGCCACGGCCTTCTTAGACAATAACTCGGCTTCTCGGGCTCGTATCTCGTCGAGCTTCGTGTTCTTTGGCGGAACTTGTGTATCGACTTCTTCTCGGTCTGGCAGATCATCGGGTGTCGGGTAATAGGAGCGCCTCGGTTGCTTGGCTAATTGCTCCTCAGCCTCGGCTTCTCTCTCGCGAATCTCCTCCAGCCTTGTATTATTCCTAGCTCTTGGCAGGGCCTTCCGCGACTCGGCAAGCTCCTCCTTGGCTTTCTCTTCCCGCTGGCGAATCTCGTCGATCCTAGTATTCGAGCGCCCAGCCCGAGGAGAAGGTCCCAGCGATGACTCCCGCCTGAGATTCCCGTTCATTCCCAAGAGCTGCTCTTCAGCATAAGCGCTGCCGTAAGAGGATCGTCGATCGGAGGCTTCGCTAAAGCCAGCGCCACCGGTTCTTATCCGTGGACTGTCTGAAATCTGCAAGTCTCCCGCCGTGAAATCTGCATCGAGCTGCCACGCGTAACTCTTGTCTGGAGATCGGTATTCCGGGTTCGCAGAAGCCGGACGAGATGTTGGCGGAGTGGGTTCCTGGGGGAGACGCTCTACAGAGGGCAACGGTGTGTCGGCTGAAATATTATCCTCTGGCTTCGGGCTGGCGGATCGCTTAATACCCTTCTCATCCTGCTCCAGGAGCTCCTTTATGTGTCCTTCAGGAACATGGCTCTTGGCGAATGCTCCAGGACGCGGGCTGGCGCTCAAACTGCCGTAGCTTGTCCTCCTACCCAAGCCCGAGCTTCCATTCAAGCTGCTATTACTGGCTCGCCGGTTCACACTCGAAGACCCGTTGAGGCTGCTGTTGCTTGTCCTCCTCGCCAGGGTGTGTCCTGTCTCGGCAATCCTTGGTCCCACTCTGGTCTTACCAAAGAAATGGTCCTGATCCCGAGACGCGCTCGGCGATTCCGCCATCTCGCGCTCATATTGACTCAGTCGACGATCGAAGCTTCCAGAGCTGGAGAGGCTGTTCGAGCCTGGACTACCGCCGTATCGTCCGACGTAGCTGTCGCGCAACGAGTCGCTCGACATTCTCGAAAGGGGTCTGGGGCGGCTGTAGTCGACCGCATCTTTGCCTAGAGATCGCCGTGATTTTGACTCGTCGGAAACTTGTCGATTGGTATAGGGGCGTGGGGCAGGGCTTGGCGATGCGTCGATGGCCGCGGGAGTAGCTCGCCGCGTCTTTTCGAGAGTCTGTACACGGTTCTCGTCCGCCAGCTTCCAGGCCTCGGCAACAGAGAATCCGGAGCCTTTGACGAAAACGCCTATTGTGGATTTGGGTCGGGGAATGCGGGAGCCGGGAGAGACGATCTCGATGGAGTGGTTCGAGTTGAGGGACGGCGTCTGCGAAAGGGAGCTCGAAGGTCGGGGGATCGCGGCACGAGAGGGGGGTCGGCCAGTCGCACTGGTTTGGGCGTTCGTTGGCGAGTATCCAAATCTGTTGCTTCCCGCTGCCGCTTGGGAGGGATTCTGGGGCTCGAGGCTCTCTCGGGAGGGTTTGGAGAAGAGTGGTTTACGGCCTTCCTCGTCAATAGTCAATTGAGTAGAAGCGCGACGGTTCGCTCGCGCGCCGAGGCCGAAGGAGGGTGATGGATTGTATTCCATGGCGACTTGTGGTTGTGGCCACGTTCGTAGTTAGTGGTGGCGGCAGTGGTGATGGTGGTGGTGGATAGTAGGTTGTCAAGCTGCGCGCTGCTGCATTTTCTTGCGATGCGACGCGATTTGGCGATTGGTCGCGTCATAACAGTACGAGAACGCAGTGGGAAAAGCGACACGAGCTTTCAAAAGCTATGAGGCCAAGATGGTCAACCTAGCCGTGTTTATTCGCATTGTCGTCAGGGGAAAGGTGGTCGCGCAAAGGGGAAAGACAATATTTTGGGTCGGAGAACGAGCAAGTGGTGAACCGCGTCTTCCCAGGGAAATTGACCGGGGGGTATCCCTGCCGCTCTTTCCCATTTGGATCAATGCTCCACACTGCCCCTCCTAATCTCGGAGCGGAAAAACAGATAGGAAATGACTAATCAGGAGCTTCCGGTCCAAAATAGTCCAAGCTCCAGGATTGCACGCCGGTCTGGACCCTGATGGTCGATCCCGTCCCAGAAACGGTACGCCGTAAAGTAAGCGGCTCTCAAAGACGTTTAACGGTATCCGTAACCACGTTTCTGGGTCTTGTTCCCCAGAAAACAAACGACCTTTGTTCACATGTTTGACATGCCTGGCTGTCTCTGTAGTATCGTGTCAAGCATCCATAGACCTCCACAGCTCATACAACGCTCATATCCTAAGCGAAGATTATACGTTACGACTCGTCATGTCAAACCCTTGTCCAATGGCCCATTTCAATCAACGGGCAACTCGGTGAGCTATTCCCCTTCAGGATGGGTACCCCTGGGCGCTCAGGGACACCTGCAGGGACCAGGAGCTCGACGCAACAAAGTGGAGGAACTCCAACACCAGTGCATCATCTCCAGGCTCCAGCTCATCCGAGCAGTCAGCATAAGCAACGCTCTCATAAAGTCACGACTCGTTATTCGCAGTCACGACACACGACTCACATCTCATGACGCACCAGCTTAGAAGCTGATGAGCACGAATAACGGACGGAACCCCCCCCCCAAATCTTGAGTTCCATACAGAAGATTCACACCAAGAACAACTTCAAGCTATGAGCTCCCAGGCAGAAGTTATCCGGCCATGCGGCAGCATGTACGATGCCTCCTACCAAACCACCATTCCGGCACCTCGCTCGGACCTGGCTTACTTCCAATGTACTGTAACTAACTGCCTCACCACAGGGAAAAGTACTCAACAGCCAGGCACTCCCTCGGCCTCTACCGATGCGTCGCCGTCACCGGCCGCTACATAATCCCACCAAGCATCATAACCCTCGACCAAGCCAAACCAATTCTCCAACATGCCGTGGCACAGGTCATTGCAGAGCAACCCTTCATGCAGGTCGGCATCGCCGACGAAGACAAACAAACAACCTCGTTCGTGCGCGTGCCACAAATCAACTTGTCAAACCATATTCAGTGGTTCGGTCCGTCCCACCCCGGCCCCGGCTCCGACACCGACTCCAGCGCCGGTGGACCGGGACCGGACGCAGCCCTCTGCAAACACCTCTCCCACCAACACGACCAGCTCTGGCCAGAGATAACCCAGCGTCCGCCCTGGAAAATATCCATCATCCCACTCCAAACCTCCCAAGACCACCCAACCCATCTCGAAGTAACCTACACCTACCACCACGCAATAAGCGACGGCACAAGCGGCTCCATCTTCCACAAACGCCTCCTCCACGCCCTAACCAACCCCCTCACCACCACCCCAAATCTCCAAAACAACATCCTCAACCTCCCAAACCCACCAGCCCTCCCCCTCCCACAAGAACACCTCGTCAACAGCCACATCTCCTGGCCCTACTTCCTCCGCGAACTATGGACCGCCTTCGCGCCCGCCTGGCTCAAGCCAACACCAGAATCACCGCCCTGGACAGGCAATCCCATCAACCTCGCCACGCCCTTCCACACAAACATCCGCATCATCACCCTCCCACCCTCAACAGTCACCGGTCTCCTCTCCGCCTCCCGCGCCCAGAATCAAACTCTAACGCCCCTCCTCCACGCGCTGGTAACAGCCTCCCTCGCGCACCACATCCCCCCTTCCTCCGCGCCCTCCTTTGAACCCTCCTCCGCCATCAGCATGCGCCGCTTCGTCCGCGACAAAACCCTCGACAAAACCCTCGACATTGACAACAAAATGTCCGTCCTCGTCACGTCGACGAATCATCCCATCTCCACGGCCCTCACCACCGCGCTCCGCGAGTCTTCCTCTTCCTCTTCCTTTTCTCCGGGTCCAAAGCTCGAAAGCGCAATCTGGGCCGTCGCATCCTCCGTTAAAAAGGACCTCCAAACGAGGCTGGCGAGCTTACCCCACGACGACATCACGGCTATGCTGCGGTACGTCGGCGACTTCCACGACTTCTTGAGGAAAAAGGATGGGAAGGCGAGGGGGAATAGTTGGGAGGTGAGTAACCTGGGCGCCATCAACGGCAGCAGCAGCAGCAGCGGCGGCGGCAGCGAGGGCGAGGACGACAAGGGTGAAGCGGGTTGGAAATTAACCCGCGCCGTCTTCTCCCAATCCGCCGGCACAGTCGCCCAAGCCTTCTGCGTCAACGTAGCCGGCATCGCTGGCGGAGAGACGACGATTACGGTGACGTGGAACGAGGCTATCGCCGAGACGGAGGTCGTGGAGGCGCTGGCTGTTGATCTCGAAGTGTGGACGCGGAAGCTTGCCAATGGCGAGAGTTTTTAAGGGGGGTGACGGGTGAAGTTGGTGAGGGTACGAGGAGGTTAGTTTGACCTCTGAGAGACTACGACGTAAAGATGCAATATTATAATAATAAAAACAGACTTTTCCTTTTTCCTTTCTCTTTTGAATCAACCAGTATATAATGATAATATGCTTTCCGCTGCAGACGAGATTACTTCAAAAATATGCCTCCTATTGACACAGGTTAAGCAGAGCTTCAAGGTGAACCACATCTGCTTGTGTCACCCAAGAAATCCGTACCCATCGACCCGATGGACGGAACCTACGAAAAGCGATCACCTTCCACACCAGCGATAGATAGCCCAACACCTCAAACACTGTCAAAAAGCCACGAGGGACCACGTTCAAGTCGATCAGAGCAAACAGTCTTGAACAAGAAAATGCGGAAGGGTTACTCATTAAATCTATAATCTGTTTCCCACCGGCATCGCGCCAGGGGGGGGGGGGAATATTTCTCGAAGGGGAGCAGCACCGTTATGTAACGTCCCCCACACAATTCTTCAGTCTATGTTCTCATCTCTTTGATCATTACCATTTTGATGAATAAGGAAAAGAGGTAAAAAACAGGGCCAGTCAAGATGACCTAGACCCTGTTCCTCACAACCCGCAGTCCACCCCACGGGAAAAGTCGCTCTTCGGACCCTCGTGGAAATCCCTCCCCTCTCTCTCATACAAATCAACGCCGAGAATGCAATGCCATCACATGGAGACCAGATCCCGGACCGCGAGGCAACCCTTCGCTCTATCATCGCTCACAACACAAAAAAGAAAATTGAAAACCAATCATGACACTCTCTCGTTCAACTACCACTGATCGTTTTGGCGCCGCCTTGCCGATCCACGGAAGTAGTCGTATTGGGTCGGGTCCGGGTCAGGCGTCTCGGCATCGGCCTGAGGGAGTCCACTATACCCCCTCGGTCCGCCACCTAGAGCTCCAACACTCGGCCCCCCCGTGGGTGCGCTCATCGGCATACCCGCGGCATTTCTCACGAGCGCCGTGTCGCTGCCGTTGCTGTTGATGGTGTACAGGGGGCTACGGGACCGCTCGCCCATGGTCGACTGTTGAGCGAAACCAGCTTGGGGCGGTCCCATGGTAGGGGACTGACGGCCGCTTCCAGTCGGTGACATGTAACCAGCAGGCGGAGTAGGCCTAGAGCCGAATCCAGACTGACCAGAGATGTCGCGGCGCTGACCCGTCATGCCGCCCTGCAAAGCAGCGCCCGTGGGCGTTCCGGGACGAGAGCCGAAATCGGACATTGATCCAGGAGTGCCGGGACGCATGATGTCGGGATCGCGTCCAAATATGTCGCCTTGGCCATGCTCTTGTGCGAATTCCGCACGGTTCTTGTAGAATTCGAAATCCAGGTTGGACTCGGAAACGAATTCGAAGCCAGGAACACCCTCTGATTTGCCCGGCTTGCCAGCCTTCATGGAACCCATCGCGTACACGTCCGAGTAGCCAGAAACACTCATCATGTCGCCAGTATTGACGTCTCTTCCATCGGAAAGGCGACCCTTGTACACGACATGCAAGTAAGGCTGCGCCTTCTGGTGCACCATCGGAGTGATGAGAGGCTTGTACAGGGCCGGGTGGCCGAAACGCGAAGCCAAGCGCTCGCTGCGAAGGCGAGTTTCCTTCATCACTCCAGCCTCGGGGTGCTTGGCAACGTTCGTGGTCGATAGGTAGTGGATCTTGTCGTCATACAATCGGGAGCAGACGACCTTGAAAATGATCAAGCAAATGGGCAGTGGAATGATGGCAAAGGCCTGGCTATGGTAGGCCCAGTCGGCACGCGCCCATGAGCTGAGGAAGAAGACGCAGTTCGATAGGAAGACGGCAAAGAGCATGCGGTTGAAGAGTACGCGCCAGAACATGCCTCCGGACTCGGTCTTGGTGACGAAGATGTAGAGCAAGAGGTACTTCTTGAGCCAGTAGTCGATTCCATAGTACAACGCGGCAGCAGGAAGAACCAGGGGCTGAATTCCAGAGAAACCCAGAGCAACTGTCGCGTAGTAAAGGAAGTAGTTGTAGTAAGAGGCATACTCGAAAGTGGGCGGTGCCGTAAGCTCAATGAGCTCTCTGGGCGTCGGGCTCGAGAACTTTCGCACGAAGAAGCTATGGATGAGTTTCCAAAGCTGGGCGAGATCGATGGCGGCACCGAGGTTGCGCTGGAGGAGCCAAGTGACCCAGAAGGGACTGACTGAGCAAAGCGCCGTGAAGATGGTGGTTGCGAGGTTCTGATCAATGATAGCCTGCCAAGCGTCGACGCTCT